TATATAAGCACGACTAATTATGTACCGAAACTTGGACTAACAACAGAAAGGCACCTCAAAAAACAGCAGTTGAAGGGCTCACTATCTGCTCCCCCAGTAAAGGCTAAGATCAGAAAGAACAGAAATAGCAAAATAACCAATCATCAGAGGAAAGAACTTTGTTAGTGCTTGTGAACTCTTCAGATTTGGATCATTACTCTGAAAAATAAAAAAAATGTCACCTGATGAATAATGAATTGGAGTTCAGCCAAAATCAGTAGCATACACAGAGAGAAGGAGAAAGCGGAAAACATTGATGAAGATGAAATGAAAATCAATGAAAAGAATCAAAATCCAAAGGTTTCAAAATTTCCCCGCTTATGGATCCCAAACTGCATAACTGACAACTGTTTTTTGTGCAAATAATGTAAGTCCATACGATACCTGACTTCATCAAATGACAACCTTCAACTTGACTTTAAGATCTTGAAAGGAGATAGTTCGTGATTGTCTTTTTAATAAAAGAAGAGTTCACCAAGATCACAGAACTCAGTTTGAATGTACATAGAGAAATATACAACTAGGCAGCAACTTACCTGTGATGACTGCATAATCTGGACGGAAATGTACTGCAAGACAACCAGCAACACGGGCAAAATAATATATGCCAAGGTATCCAACCATCCAAGGGGGGAGGATGACCATCCTGAAAGAATATTTAAATGACAGATGAAAACGTCATGCAATTTATTGACCAGAAATCTACCTTATTGGTTGATGATAAGTAACAAGTCACCAAACTTCATTAACAATTCAGGTTATCTTAAGATTCCTCTGCATCTGATATATCAAAATACAATGTCTAAGCTCCGTGGACAGTGGTGACATCTTCTAGAATGTCCAATCAACATACCTTAATTTCAACTCCAAGCTTCTGAGACCTTTTAACTATTTATGATGTGAGCATGGACATGGATTAAGTTGACAGAAATGATATCTCAATGCCAAGTGGGTCTATTATAAGGGAGAGAGTTAAAAGATTACAATAAGTCCTTTAATTTTTTATCCAAGCGTGGATCAATGAGTAAAATAAGCTTGAATTCATTAAAGAAGTCCAAGGAAAGAAGACAACAAGCTACTAATCCAATGGTATAATAGTATATACTATTTACCTCAAGTGCAAGAGAAAAATAAGTAAGAAAAGAGAAAAATTCTGTAAGACATGAAAAAATAAATTCTCATAGAATTTTATTTCCTAATAATGTGGGAAATCTTCACAATTAAAAATCAGCCAAAAGAAAAAATTGTTCCTAAATTACAAATTATCTTGAGAAAGAGGAAAAACTTCTTAAATGTCAAATCTTGCAGAACAAGAAAATACTTGAGAAAAATGAAAATATCTTGACAGAATTTCTTTCTCTAAATCAGCCATAATTAATTAAGATATTTTATATTCAAAAAGTTTTTCTCATAGAGAAATCATATATACCCTATTTTACTTATAATCTTCTTAATTTTTACTAGTTTTTTATTTTATTTTATATTTAATTTCTTATATAATTTCTACTATTAATTAGAATATTATTTTTTTGTCTTATTATTCGTATGATCCATACTATAAATAGCCTTTCAAGTCAGAGTTATAATTCATTCAAAATTTTCATCTTATCAATAAAATTAAGATATCATTGTTTTAAACTTTCAACTTTACAAGAGTGAATGAGTGTATTTTCGACTGATTTGTTGTATTAAAAATTAGAATTACTTATCAAGGTAAGTCTCATAATATCTTTTCAAATTTTAGTTTTTGTTTATTTTCTATTTATCTTGATTTTCAATCCACTATTGAGTGGGGTTAAATATAGAGGATTTATTTAAAATTTTGAATTTCTGGTTGCTGATGTATATGCGGGGTTTTGAATTCCGTTGTTGATCCCAGATTCTACATTAATTTGCTTTATGTGTAATTAAGAAACTAGACATTCAAACACTTTTCCTTTCGTTCATCTCAAAATCCCAACTCAAAGATTCTGATCCAAAGGGCAACCTAGTATACTTTTACAGGCTTGTTGAGAAAGTATCATGGGTGGTAAGTATTCTTGATTATAAATCACATCATCAGTGGACATATAAACTAAAATAAAGATAGGACACTGAAAGTGAGTTTATACGGAATTGTTATTGTTAATGTATTAAGATTTTTCTTAGAAATATTTAGATATTTTCTATTTTGCAAGTACAAAGTACTATGTATATGTATGGCGCTGCATATTTTTAACAGTAAAATATGAACATAATATTTTGCAGTAGGTGGTGTTATGATTTCCTTCCATAATTTAGGGAAGTTATTTACTTAGGTAAGAAATCTTCATATATATATATGTATATATATCACTCTTTTGTATATGGGAAAAAAACATATATATATATATCACTCTTTTGTATATGGGAAAAAAACAATCAATGAAAATTCACATTTTTTGCTATCCTTGTGTTATTTTTCTACTATTTCTATTTTCTGTCAAATGGTATCAGAGCCTTCTTCTTGAAGGATCTGTGCAAGGTGATTTTGAATGTTAGTAAGGTGAGAGTTCAAACACCTTGCAAAGTAATTGCTACATGGCTTCATCAAAATTTTTAGGTACTGGTCCTCCATTATTTAATGGAGAGAATTACCAGATTTGGGCAATAAAATGAAAGCTTATTTAAAAGCTTTAAACTTGTGGGAAGCAGTTGAAGATGGAGGAGATCCTACGCCACTCGGACCAGACCCAACATTGGCTCAAATTAAAAATCATGAAGAGCAGAAAGCCAAGAAACCAAGGGCCCTAACCTGTCTGCATTCAGCTTTGTCTGAAACTATATTTTTAAGTGTGATGACTTGTGAAACACCTAAGGAGATATGAGACAAACTGAATGAAGAATATGAAGGGAGTGAAAGGGTGAGATCGGGGAAGCTTCTCACTTTAAAAAGGAAGTTTGAGATGCTAAGAATGAAATAGGGCGAGTCTGTTAAAGAATATGCAGCAAAGTTATAAGAAATTGTTAATAAAATCAAGTTATATGGAGAAGCATTTCCAGATTTCAAAATAGTTGAAAAATTTTTGATAAGTCTTCCTGCAAGGTTTGAGCCTAAGATTTCTGCTATAGAGGAATCATGTGGTCTTAATGTCCTCTCTGTTGCAGAACTTATAAGCAAATTGCATGCTCAAGAACAAAGATCAAACCTAAGAGAAGATGAAGCTGTCGAAGGTGCATTTCAAGCTAGGCAGAAATGGAGACATCAAGGAAAGCAGCATAAGAAGGGAGGTACTGAGAAAGGGAAGGGTGCTGAAACTTTAAAAGATCAGGGAAAGAGAAATAAGTTCCATCCATGCAGCATCTGTCAAAGAACAAATCATCTTGAGAAAGATTGTAAGTTCAAAAATAAATCAAATATTGTAAGAAGCTGGGGCACATAGAAAAGAATTGTTGGGCCAAGAAAAATCAAGCAAACAACAAAGAGCAGCCTTCACAATATGCAAATTACACTGACGAGCAGGAGGAGGAAACTTCAAAACTATTTATGGTCTCTCAATCCTCTCTTGACACTTGCAATAACACTTGGTATGTGGATAGTGGTTGTACAAGTCACATGGCAAATGAGGACAACATGTTCTGCGAACTTGATAGAACAGTCAATACACAGGTCAAACTTGGAAATAGACAAGTGGTTGAAGGTCAAGGCAAAGGTACTGTTGCTGTTCAGTCTCCAAAAGGTACCAAATATATTCAAAATGTTCTTTACATACCAAGCTTGACACAAAATCTTCTGAGTGTTGCACAAATGATTTCTAATGGGTATTCTCTGATTTTTAAAAATCAAAGTTGCTGCATATTTTATCAAAATAATCACTTGATTGTTGAAGTAAAAATGATTGATAAATGTTTTATGCTGAAGTAGAATTTAGTCCTCGATAGTACTCTTTATAGTAAATGTGATGAAACATTGTTGTCGCATAAGAGATATGGACATTTCAATCTTGTATCATTGAAACAAATGCAATCTCAACAATTAACTAGAGATTTTCAAAGATGAAAAGAATCAGATTTTGTATGTGGTGTATGTCAGCTTGGAAAATCTCATAGGCAGCCGTTCCTTCAAATTCTAAATAGAGAGCAAGAGAAAAACTCGAATTAGTGCACACAGATGTGTGTGGACCTATGAGTATTGATTCTTTCAACAAGAACAAATACTTCATGCTCTTCATCGATGATTGTGCTAGAATGACTTGGATCTATTTCTTAAGAAGTAAGGAGCAAGTATTTGATGTGTTTAAAAGATTTAAAGCTATGGTTGAGCTGCAAAGTGGGTGTAGACTGAAAGCTATCAGATCAGATAATGGTAAAGAATATATCTCAAAAGAATTTCAGAATTTTTGTGCAAAAAATGGCATTCAACATCAACTCACAGTTAGTTAGTCACCTCAGCAAAACGGAGTTTGTGAAAAAAAAAACAGGGATGTTGTAGAAATGACAAGGTGCTTAATGAATGATAAGTGTTTACCTAAGCAATTTTGTGCTGATGCAGCGTATACTTCAGTGTACTTATTGAACAGATTACCAACTAAGGCTGTGGAGGGTAAAACACCTATAGAAGCTTGGTCAGGGGTAAAGCCATCAGCAAAGCATTTAA